TTAAAAAAAAAATTGATAAATTATATTTGAATAAAAAAATTAATATCACATCACTTACAAATAGTATATTATTTAATTAAATTCATTTTTAAATTAATAATATGTAATTATTATAAATATCATTTCACTCATTTTTATACATAAGCCAAAACATCATTTTACATAAATGGCAATGCGTAAGGATAAAAAAATTATTTCATAGTCCAGATTAATCACATATTCTATAGTCGTGGGATCGAGTCCCATGGAGGGCATTTCATAATTCGGAGGTCTCCTATAGAAGCTGCTCTCAATCTAGTGTTGGGGGCAGCCTACTATCTTACCTCCCCTTACCCCATTATATATGGGAACAAGGGACAACCATCTATAGTCGACGTAAATAAATGCCATAAATTTTAAAATAATTATAAAATAACTATTTTTTCTTTATATTCTACTTCACTTTCATCTTCACCCTCAGCCTCTTCCTCATCCACAGTATTAATTTCATTTTCCTCATATTCCCTCTGCTCTTCCATCAACTTCATATTTAGGGAACAAAATCGAGAGAAAAAACTTATTATTTTTTTCTTGGAAAAAAATCAGAAATTTGGAAGAGATGGAGAGAGAGAGAGAGAGAGGGGGGGGGGAGCTTGTTTGCTCACTCTACCGGTAGCTTGCGTAACGGGGATCTCAGCCGTTGAAACGGGTATTGACGCGGATTAACGACGTGGAGAGTGATCGAACGGTTTAAATAAAAGAAAATGTATTTTTGTGGTACTTGATTCGTCGCGTCGCGTCTTTTTCCGCTTTTCTTCATCAGCTGCTTCTCACGTGCGATAAATCGCGAGGGGAACCAAGGGGCTAGGGTTAACTGTTTCCCTTCTTTTTCTTTCGAAACTATTCCATTGATTGGGCCCATTAAATAAATTTAAATCCATAATTCAAAGGCTGAGTATATTTTGGCAATGTTTATGGCCCAAATTTAAATAAAAAAAGGTTTGAAATACATTTAATATTTTTTTATTAAAATTAATGAAAATATATATGTCGAAGAAAATATCCATTTTGGCAATGTTTATGGTCGAAATGTCTCATGACTCGAACTTGAGACATTTAAGAGTAGTAATGATAAATAAATTATAAATAAATATTGAAGTAGAAAAGTAATTTATCTTTATATATTTTTAAAAATAATTTGTTATTTTATTTTTGAATCATATCATAATCGATTAAATTTAAAATTGATAATATAATAATTAAATAAATTAAGTTAGAAATTAAACAAAATTTAAGTTCATGCATGTTCTTTCATAATCGGGCTTTATATCTTTTACTATTTTAAAATTTTTACTCTTAAATTAATATTTTTTGCAGCGTTAAATTAGTATGCTTTTGTATTTGCTCTAAGAAAGAAGATTGCTTATCAAATAAACATTTAAAGAACCAACTTAACCTTTACCTTCACTTGTTTTCTATTTTTTTATTTAGACCAATTCTTAAACTAGCATGGACTGTATTCGTTTATTTTACGTGGTAAGAATGCAACCATCATATTTTTAGGGGATTGTCGCGTTCGCCTGATGCAATTGTAGATATTATAAAAAGAGCGGTTAGAACAAAATTGTATAGGCGCGATATGAATAGAGTGGATAATGTAAATAGGCAACTTTGCATTGATTGGAAACTCATGTAATTGGTTGTAATTGTAACTTGTAGCAGCTTACTGCTCTCTTTGGATGAATAGATTGATTATCCAAAAAAAATTATTTTTCTAAAATATGTTATATGTTTTATTCTTTAATTTCATAATTCATCTTGAATAAATAAAGGATCCATAAATCAGTTATTTAACAAATTCTAAATCTAGATAGGATAAGAAGGAAGAAAAGATTTTAGGAAAGAATAAGAAAGGCTCATAACGGGTCTAAAATTTTCGATCTAAGAGAATAAAAATGAATGGCTTAATCAATCGACCAAATATATATGTTTAATCATAAATTAATTCTCAATTGACTTTTTATCGAAGCCCGTGTTTATGATTTATTTTGTATAGTTTTTGTTTTTCTATAACATACAAAACGTCCCTTTCAAAAATATAATAATTCTCAATTCAATCGAGTTAATCTATTTGTATATGATAAGGAAATAAGGCAATGGCTTAGGGTGCATAACCAAAAGCTTATAATGAATTTCAAAGGTAGAGAGATCCGTGATCTAAAAGACGAAAGCAATTCGGTACGAGTCATGGGAGAATTGCACGTCAATTCAATGTATTTCCCCCTTAATCATTGAAATAATCTCATATCGATAATTCTATTATATGACGCTCTAATTTAAGGTTAAAAAATTTAATTAAAAATATTATAAAAAATAATATTTTTTACTTAACCCAATTTTAAATGTTAATCTTTTTAATGTTAAATGAAAGTGTTATGGAAAAGATTTGCAAATGAAAAATATTAAGAAAATATTAACATTTTCTCCCATCTAAAATTATTTATTTTAAAATGATTTAAAAAATTTAAGAAATCTGACATTATTGATTATAGTTATTTAAATATTAAAAATAGAATATTCTAGAAATAAATATTAAAATATAAAATATTAGAGAGCCAAACACGTGTACCTAGTCCAGTTTTGCAAAAGGACATGGGCAAGCAATAAAGTGAGAATAAGTTAGAAAGATAGAGAGTTCCCAGTTTGACTCGTGAACTGCCAAATATGCTGTAGAAAGAAAGCACTACTTACAAATGGATTTTCTTGTAAAAAAAGATAGGGAGGGGGATTTCATGCATTATTTATGAAAAACCCCAAATTATATTCCATCTACCTTTTTTAATGGTTTAATAGCTGATATGGGTCTCATTATATTCAGAATTAAGTTGAATCAACCTTTTAAATAAGTATATTTTTAGCAATTCTTTTAATTTATATGATTTGAATTAAAAATGTTAAATTCTCTAACATTTAATCTAATATGGCATTGATAGGAACTCAAATTATTAGATCTCATAATATCCTAAGGATGTGTTTGGTTGGGGGAATGTGAGATTCCCATGGGAATGAAATCCACATTCCCCCATTTGCTTGGCCGGGAATATCATTCCCGGTAATCTTACATTACCAATAGTAGATTTTTGGGATATATTACTGGGAATGTGTCATTACCTCTCTTTCCTTAGGTATTGTTGGATTATCGGCGTTTTGGACTAAAATGCCCTTAAAAATTTTCTTTCAAAAAATATCCTTATTCTATCATTGAATGATAAAAATTCTACGAAGGTTAAATTACAAATTTATCCTTAAACTATTTTAGATTTACAAAAAAAATCTATAATTAAAATTTTATATGAAGTTCAGGGGTTAAAATAAAATTTTACCCTTTCATTAAACCTTTTTATATTTTTAATTTTGTAAAATAAATTATATAAATTTTATGAATTTAATTTTTTTAAAAGAAAATATATAAATAGTTTCTAAGTTGTTAAAAAAATAAATATATAATAAGGACAATTTGGTCAAATATACATTCTATTAATATTTTATTCTTTTAACCAAACACGGTAATCTTATATTCATGCTAAACCAACCAAACACAAAATACAACATTCCCAGTAATCCTATTCCCTGATAATCTTTTATTCCTACTGATAATCTTACATTCCGTAAACCAAACGCACCCTAAATGTTCACAATTTAAGCCATGACCCCTTCCCTAGCCTGTTTGGATTCATCACATTCCATCATTCATGGCGGGGATGATAACAATTTTGATTAAATTGAGATGATTATAAGGTAATATATGTTTTAAATATTTTAAATTATTTGACAATGAATACTTAAACATTTTTACAAACTCTGATGCTCGAATCTAAAATTTATTAACTATTAAAGTAACTTGATTCGTACAAATAATAATAATTTTGAGGGACAAAGGAAACAACAATGTATCTGGACAACACATTAGTGGTAAGATTTGAATCTTACATGGGAGAGGTCAATATCATTCAATTATTTACCAAATTACATAATAATTCATCATATCATATAATTAATGTTGTCTACAGTTTAGTATATTTATTAAATGATTAAATATAAAATTCATACGAACATATATATATATATATATTGTCCGAATCTCCTCATACTCGTGCTAAATTTTACTTCTGAAATTAAATGTACAAAAATCAATTTATTTGTGATAAATGGACCGATTTATTTCAAAACTTGCATTATAGTGATCAAGTAGGTAGTTCAATCGTTGTAGCATGATTAGGGATGAATATAATATTTTAAAATTTCGAGTTAGACTAGTGTAGATTTTTAACTTGAAAATCAAGTTAAGCAAAATTTATTTAAATCTGAATTCTTGTGAGAGATAGAAGAGTAAAACATTTAGATCATAATTGAATCGACCAGATATTAGACCCGACCCGACTCATGTACGATGAAGGTTATGGGGATAAATCATAAATTAATACTGACCAATAAATGGATGTCCCTTGTTCCCATATGTAATGGGGGTAAGGGGAGGTAAGGTAGTAGGCTGTTTCCAACACTAGATTAAGAGCAGCTTCCGTAAGAGACCTCCAATTTATGAAATGCCCTCCATGAAACTCGATCCCACGACTTAACTCAATGCAAATTTTCATCACTTTGCACGTGGTAAAGTCAACTTTTATAGCATTGATTAATGTCTTAATGATCCATGTGAGAGCACAATAAAAAAATTGGCCTAAACGAAACAAGAAAAACCAAGTCCAATGGAAGCCATGACCTACTCTCAATGAATCCAAGGGTGCTGAGGGTACTCGCACTATAAAATTTTTAATTTTTAATTTTTTTATATTTTATATTTTATTTTTAAATTTTTTATTTATTATCTAATTTCGTTCTATTAAAATTTTATGAGTTTATATTTTTAAATTTTTTAATATAACTTTTTAATTTTAAATCTACTTATAAATTTTTTTATATTCATCCCTGTTTACTCTCCTATAAAAGAAGATGAACCCAGTAATCACCCTAACCAAACCAAAAAAATCACAAAAAACAATGAACAAGAACAACCTTTCCCTCCATCTTCTTCTTCTCCTCCTCACAATCTCACTTCCATCAACCCAAAGTGATGATGATCTAATAGACCAAATTTGCAAGAAAACGCCATTCTACGACCTGTGCACCTCGACCCTGAAATCAAACGCCGACCCCCAGAACACGGACACCAAAGGCCTGGCCGGCGTGATGGCCGGCATTCTCCTATCGAACGCGACCGACACGTTGAGTTACATCCGAGGTCAGATAAGCGAGACGTCGGACCCCCAGATGGAGAGGGTGTTGGCTTATTGCGCGGAGCTTTACATTCCGGTGGTGAAGTACAACTTGCCGCAGGCCATCGACGCGCTGAGCAAAGGGCGGTTCGAGTTCGCCAGCGACGGGATATCGGACGCCGCGAAGCAAGCCGATGCTTGCGAGAAGAAGTTGTCGGGGCCGCTGAAGCTGTCGCCGTTGAGTGAGAGGAACAGGCTGCTTCACAGCTTGTCTGATGTGGCTGTCGCCATTGTTAAGCTGTTGCTCAAAGGGTTGATCAAATGAGGACTGTGGGTTTTTATTTATATTTATTTATTTATTGGAACCCTTTGCGTGCTATCGTTTTCTGGCTGTGAATCTTCTTTCTTTTTTAATTCTATTTGGGTTGGAAGTGTTTGTACTGTGCTTCGAGAGGTCTGGCAGATAGTTTTAATTTTCGGCCATAGAATTAGCATCTTTTGTTTCTTGTTTGGCATAATATCAAAAATAGACCTTCACGTTTATTAAAATATTCATTTTAGTTCATATTCTTTGTTTTGAAGCATTTAGCCTCTAACATTTCACTCCGGGGCAAAAAACTCCGTCTATAAATAAAAGTTACTAGTTAACGCGTGATTAACATTATAAAATAAGAGTATTTTTAAATCTAAAAATGAAATGTTGAGGGTTAAAATGTCTCCATAAAAAGAACAAGGGACAAAATAATAATTGTGTCAAATGTTAGAGGTTTTTTTACCATAAAATTAAATATTAGGATCAAAATGTACCAAAAAAATAAAATAGGATATGAACATTTTAGTAAACATTAGGGGTTAATTTTAACACTATGTCTTCTTGTTTTCTCTTGTTCTTCTTTCTTCTTATTCTTGAGTTTTCTTCTAATGTGGGCTGAAATTATTTTCTAATTTTTTTATTCAAATATCATATAAAAAGTTAAATTTTAATAAAAAAAATATTAGAATTTAAATTATTTCTTTAAATTAATATCATTTTAACTAAATATTTACCTCAAACGTACTTTTAAAAAAATGTATTTTTAAAAGGAAGCACCTTTTATTAATGTGATAGAAATCGATAAAACTTTTAATCAGATCGATTAATCGCGTAAATAAACATCTACAATATTCGGCCAAAATTAATATATCAATTAATCAAATATTAATAATTAAATAAAAAATTTAAATTTAATCAGATAGATAATAAAAATAATAGTTGATATTAAAATTTTAAATATTTCAAAAAATAATAATTAATGAAACTTAAAATCTATATTTAATAACTCAAAATCAATATTTCTAATCATAAACTTCTCAAAAAAAATATTATTTAAAAAAATAATTGTTAAAACATACATCAATTTAAATACAATATTTTAAATACACATCATTAATTTAAGAGTAAACTATACATTTAGTACTTGAACTCTTAATTTTAATCCGTTTTAGTACTCAAATGTCCATTTAAAAAAAAATTATATCTAATGTTTAATTTTTAATTCATTTTAGTAATCTCTAAAAAAATAAACGATAAGTTTTAAAAAAATTAAAGTTTAAATATTAAAATAGACTAAAATTGATAGCTTAAGTAATGCGTTGAGTTTTTAACGACATGATACTAAAATAAAAAAAAAACTAAACATTAAGTATAATTTAAAAATAAATAAAATTTTAAATATTAAAATGTACCAAAATTAATAATTTAAGCGTTAAACGAAAATTGTAACCTCGAATTATTTTCTTAAATATACATTGGACAAAACTTATTCCATCGTCCAACCCGAGCTCAAAATAAAAGATTGATTTTGATATATATATGTTGCACACCCGATTTCAAAACTTTGCCTTGATTAATCCGAAACTTTGCATTGATATTAATTAATTCGAATCAATCCGCGTAGTAGAGATGCTAAAGATTTTAGCAAGTAAATCTCCTACAAAAATTTTCAACGTAAGAGTTATATTTTTTTTAATAATCAAATCATGGATTTGAACCTAAATTATTCAAATCGTATGAGGAATCGACAGGTTTTCAGGCGACTGTGTTAGGGTCCAGCTCAAAAGATTAGACAAAAAAGCAGACGCCATCCCACATGAAATCAACACCCCCTGTTCAGGAATCAGTATCCAAAGCTACAATCCAACCCACTTCCATCATTCAATTTTTCAATTATAATTCAATGAGAGAAATTAGAAAGAACAATGGGTGCCAAAAAGGGATTTTTTTATCAGTATCATATCAGCCAGTGTGCAGGCGAAGTTATTGAGGACTCACATATGACCAAACATGTACATTGTAATTCAACTCCATTGATTTTGACCCAAAGAACATTGCACCTTTTATCCTGAAAATCTTCCCAGCTTCTGTTCACCTTCTAAACCTGCAACCTGCTCCACCAAACTGAACAAGAGAAACCGGATCGGATATTAGTTTTCAGAAGCTTAAGATGTGCATAAATTGAATTGGTTTGCCACTATAACTGTTGGCTGTTGCTTACTTCGGAGATTCGGAATCCTGTTGATTTCGGAAGTTCGCGGATGGATTCATGGAGAACTGAAGTAAACTTGGAACACCCTGTGGCTGTGCTGCCCCTGCTGGCAATGGAGATCCTTGGTTGCTTGCTGGTGTGCCCCCGGAACACATCCCTGAATAAAACGATTGGAAACGAAACCGTTTAGTCCATATTCGTGGTTTGGAAACGACGATTATAAGTAGTCGGTCTTTTGATCCATGCAATCCAAGGATTTGCATATTACCTTGGAACATTATGACGAGACAAAAAACAATGGTGAACACCATGGCAAACATGTTGCTGCTAGTGCTAGAAGGTGTCGGCTTAGCGGCTCTCGATTTCTTCAAGGCTTTCATCCGTTCGATTCTCGCACGCTTCAACCTCGCAAGTTCCGCAATCTCCCTAATTAGTTTCTGGTCGGCCGCATCCAACGACGGGGCTCTCGGTGGCCTAGGAGGTCTAGGATGTTTCTTATGACCCAAGCTTTTACGTTTCTCCTTCACTGATTTGTTCTTGGCATCTTTACTCTCTTCTGCCTCCACATTCACCCTCATCACCGACGGCGTATTCTCCGGATAAACACTACCGGAATTCGAAGCATCACCGGACAAAGACACTCTATTATCCGAACCCTCAACAAGATCACCTTCGAGCAGCGGTTGTCCAACAGCTGTTACTCCATTTTCATGGCCGAGTTCTAAATCTTTAAACCTAGAAGTCATTTCATCTATGCAAGCACGCTCCACAATCTCAATTCTCAGTCTAAAAAGCCCAACCTCAAGAATCAACCCTATACAGAAATTGCTTCACACAGAGATAAAATTTGACAATTTAACATGAAGAAGCAAAGATGGCAACTTTCCAGCTGTAAATTCACACAAGAACAGCTTTCAACAATGCGACTTAACGGGGAATACAAGCCTTGACAACAAACTCTGCATCAATAAACAGAATATAAAGAAAAATTCAATAGATAACTCACAAACTGCACACAGGATCAAAAGTACGAAACCCAGAAAACATACCCATCAAACCCAATAAAGAAAAAAAGCTTCATTGATCAAACAAATTACCTTGGAAAAGAAAGCAAGAACCCACTAACCCAGATCCGATGCTGAGGGAAAAAGCCCAGAAAACGAGTTGGAAATGAATGTAACGTATAAATTTAAGAGATTTGGATTTAAAACACAGAGAGAGAGAAAGAGAGAGAAGAAGGTGAGGAGAGAACTTGGAAACTGGTAGAATTACGTGGAAATATCGAACAAAATGTGTGTGGTAACTTCTTTTTCTCTGTAACCAAACAGAGAGAAAAGAACTATCATTATTTTGGGTATTGTTGAGATTTAAATACGAACCGCACCGACACATGGCAGTCCCCGTCGGTGGGCGCCCCCTTTGATTTATCCTTTTAACTCGCTTTCGTTGCCACCAATGCTTTTCTTTGGTCCTTTCTAATCTCTCCATCTTCGGCACAATTTTGTGATGTATTTGGTTGTTTAATTGCGAATTTAATCCCTCTGAAACGCTGAAATTTGAATTTAGTAATTCTGTTTTATTTTCATGGAAAGGGGTAGTTTGAAGTTTTTTTATTAGCAGTCGAAATTAATAACAATTGAGATTTAAGAATACATTTTAGGGTACTACTCATTTAGTATTTAGATTATTAGTTTTGATCTCTTTTATTATTTTAATTTTTTCAAAATTATATGTGACGTTTAGTTTTTGTTTTACTTTAATATCTATTACAAATTTAATGGGTGATTTACATGTGACACCTTTTTATAGTTAAATTGCATCATTTATCACTAAACTATCTTTTCGCTCCTATTATGTTCACTAAAACATTTTTTTTTAATTTTATTACTTAGCTTTCAAATTACTCCTAATTTAATCACTCTAACTTTCAATTTTTTTTTCATTTTTAATTATATATTAATAAAATAATAATAAAAATGTCATGTCACAAAAATTAATTTGAAAGTTGAATAATTAAATTGAAAATTTTCAAACTTTAATACCAAAATAAGAATGAGAAGATAGTTTGAAAATTTTCAAAGGAGGAGATAGTTTGAAAATTTTCAAACTTTAATACCAAACATTGGGTATGATTTTGAAAAAATTAAAAATTTGAATACTAAAACAAACAAAAATTGATAGTTTAGATACTATATGCATAATTTACCCTACATTTTATTGGAAATCCTTTGTTTTTACTCCTCAAATTCAGTTGATAAATATTCCTACTTTAATTTATTATGTTTGATTTTATACAGTTAGTAAATTGATAATATTGTTAACTGCTGTCATTAAAAATGATAATAGATTGTATTTACCAATTTGGATCTATAAATGATAATAGATTATCCTTATATTTATTAGCACCGTTGACGATGGGCAGAGGCACGAGACAGATGGGGTCGGTGATAATTGTAAAGACAAATATGGTACAAAAATTAGCTCCACTGATGAGTGAACCCATAGCTGGATCAGAATGGGAACATCCATACATGCATGTATGTCTTCTTTTTTTTATAATTAATAAAAATATTTAACAGAAGAGTACATTTATTATTCGCTAAATAATATAAGAATAAATTAACCTAACAGTAAAACACAACTAAAATTTGATGATGGCGGCGCCACTTGATGGCTTAGAGGCAAAAAGATATCGTCGAAGGTCATCCTCGTTGATCATACCTTTATCGATCCTAGGTTTGTAGAATTGTGCCTGATACACAACCAGAATGTTAACATACTTGCTTTTGTATGTCCATAAAATGCGAGCCAAAAACTGAAGTTGTAAAGGTTATACCGTCAATTCGGAGATGAATCGAGGCACGATAGTCTCTTTGACCAAGGCCACTGCGCAACCACCCCACCCAGCTCCGGTCAACCTTGCTCCCAGTGCACCGTTTTTCCGGCAAACTTTTACGAGTTCCTCCAACTCCGGGCAGCTAGTTACACAGAAACGGAAAGATAACCATGTGAACTCACCATAAAAACAAAGTACAATCACAGTACATTGAAACAGACTATTAAGGATATTGTGATCATATTTGTACCTGCATTCGTAGAGAATGCTACAGCTATAGTGGCTTTCGTTCATAAGATCGCCAAGCTTCTTCAGCTTTTCCTCCTCACTACAAGATGAACTATGACATTATTCGAAATAGCAAAATGGATATAACTTTAGTTCAGAAAAATAAAATTAGATATTTGAAGTCGTTATCCCTCGAAAATTGTACGATAACTTGTGGCAAACTGTAACTATTAAAGTCACCTTAAGTTTGAGGACATGGTATCCTTGAAAGCATGAACCCGATTCGCTTCAGAGTACACATGAGCAGCTCTCTGGAAATTAGAATCGAGTGATAAATGAATACACTAACGAATACGAATTAAATCTTAATTGTAGTTATGATATTGATTCAAAAACAATTCTATTCAACTGCAGCCTCTAAGCAAAGTACCTGATGCAACTTGAAGCGTTTAGCCGCTCTTAACACGTCCAAAGATGTTGGGTTATCACCCAAGATTGATACAAGATCTTTCCCGGCGACTTTCTCGATTTCTTCAGTTGTATAGGGCTCCACCTTCAAATATTCCTGCAGTAAAAGAAAAATATAGTTTCAAGTGATGGAAGATAAATATTGGCATATGAGACTTATAACATAAAAAGATAAACACCCTAATATTGTGGGGGCAGGAAAAAAAATGATAGAAACCTTGACAGCAAGCACAGGATCCTTAGAATTGTGAGCTTTGGCAAATTGAACACATAACCCTTCAACATCAGAAAGAGTTTTGACTTTTTCCGCTGCCTCTTGGGACTTCATTCCCAGTTTTATACCGAGAACAATCTGAGATTTCGACCCAAAAAAAGATCCACACTATGAGTACACCAAAACAAAGACAGCATAAAAATGATTGAACATACAGATAAGGGGATGTAACTTACGGCAGCCAGTCGACATTCAACAACTCTGTTATTATAATTTGTGGCAGCTGTAACAGCTTTTTGAGATTCAGCCAATGAATGGGCTATTACAAAGGTACCTCCAGCAGGGAGTTTCACATCAGTTGCACGAATAGGATTGAAATCAATTAGCTCAGCAAATCCATTTTTGGCCATCACAGAGATTGCCTATCATAACAAAACAAGGAACAAGTGAAGAACATTTTCAAAGATAACATAGTAAATCAAATTCGGTAGCTTGATAAACACATGATGACTTTGGAAAATCAAATTAAACAATGAGAAGTTAGAAAAAGTGTAACCTGGTCCATCCCACCAGACTGCATTCCAATGTGCTGCTCACAGTCGCATGTAACTTGGGCAATTTCTTTCTGTTAACAGAACAGGTATTGAAATTTCAGAAAATGACTTGCAAAGTTACTATTTTCAAAATCAACATGGAATTTGCATACCTTTGGGAAGTTAACCCCAAAAGCAGCCATGATAGCAATCGTAGATGAGCAAACAAAAGCTGCAGAGCTTGATAAACCGGAGCCTAGAAAAAAATTGCACAATGAGAGTTAAGTTCTCTATAGGAGCATACAGCTGCCAGCATGTGAAGGTAAATTTTTGTTCATTTAGAATCGAAGTCTCAGTTTACTTGTAAGTGATGTAAAAGAATACCTGTAGGAACTATTCCATCAATAAGAACATCAAGACCAACTGGCACCCTGACATCCACTCCTTTTGACTTGGCATATTCGTAATAACCTTTATACCTACGGAATGTGGGAAATACTAGCATCACTATTTTGATGTTATCATAGAAACATAAGTATGGTAAAAATCTCTTCCATTTTAAAAAAGAACTTGCATATCTGTCGGAAAAGATAAGTAGCAACTTCAAATTAAAGGAAGATAAAAAGGACCAAAAGGATTCAATATCTCACCCACAAACGAAGTAGTGACCCCATTTATGCTTCTTCAAGTCAATTGCCTGAAGAGTCAACCATGTCAGCTATATTGATGCAAATTCCAGATAATTCTTAAGACAAGGATCACAGAAAATAGAAAAGGCTGCTTTTTACAAGCAGGATCTAATTCTACCGGGAAATTGAAGTTCAATACATAAACTATCAGAAACATTTAGCAAGTTACATAACCACTTCAATAATTGATGAAGAAAGAAGTAAAACCTGGTTAGGATCAGCAGGGTAAGTACAAGTAGCGTACTTATCATTAACATTAGCAATTCGGAGAAATTTTTCAGCCTCTCCTTTGTCGCGCTTTCGAATTGCCACAATCGTGTCTTGCCGGATCGCCATCGGCAATACCGAGTATCCTTCATAGTCAATATGTTCTCCAATCAAGTTCACTCTCCCTGTATGTAAAAATAGCCATTAAATATCAGATATAAAAAATCAACAATGTTCACAATTAAAAGATCCATAGAGAAAGAAAGTGGAACAGCGCTATCGCTGCTTTGCTTACTCAAAACAGTCCGTTTTTTCCCCGAAAACTCTAACGCAAATTCAAACTAAACACTCTTGACCAAAAAAACTATCTACGATGAAAATTCCTTGAACTCTTTATTATACGGTTCGTATTTTAACTCAACCGTTGAATTTATCCAGATAATTATACTAGTCATACAATTCAACGTCTCACAAACGAACAGAGTAAAACAGACCTGGAGATCGAGCGAAGACCTCAGGAGGATGACCGAAAACTTCGAGGAACTTCGATTTCAAATTTTCAAAACGAAGCTTAGCTTCTTCAAGCTGAGGTCCTTCACCGTACACCGGTTCAAGTGAAGAGTAAATAGGAATCGGCAGCTCATCGTGGTTCGTCATTGTTCTCTCCTCTCTCTCTGTGGATCTCCGCAACTCTTCTTTTCTTTTCCTTTCAATAATTACTCACTTTTGCTTTTTAAGATTTTGGTTCTCGTCTCTATTTATAATCTCTATTTGTTTATAAATCCTAAAATTTAAAGCCATCTTTTTTATTCCTAACGAAAGTAGGACAATCAATCTTGTTCATAATAATTTTACAGCTTTTATGGGTTTCTCTTAGGATAAATTATAGTAGAGGTATCCAAACTATACTAGAATGATTTCTTTGTCACTAAACTTTAAAAATTATAATAAGAACTAAATTTGTCAAAATACTAAAATATATATTTTTCAATATTATAATATATTCATTATTTTTATTATAAATTTTTTGATTTTTATTAAATTTTACAATATAAACATTAAATCTATTGAACGTTTATAAAATAATCATTAAATTTATTAAAGATCATAAAACTGTCAAGATTATTATTTTGTAATAATTTGATGAATTTAATAATTATTTTATACCTATTAAATATTTAATGGCCAGAAAGATTATTGAGCATAGTTAAGGGACCTATAATTTATTTTTCCCTTTTTAAGGTCTTAGAAATAAATAGAATTAACTTCAAATTACGAAATCCAATTAAAGATGTTCGCGTATTTTTTTTAATGAATTTATTATTTTATTAATGTCACCGACAAAGAATAATTTTTCAATGAATATATAATAAATAGACAGAGAGAGTTGGATAAATCCGAAAGATCTGGCGGTCCAAACCCGGTTTTATCGAAAAAGAGAATTGGGATAATAGTATTTTGAGTAAATTACGTGTTTAATATTTAAATTATCAGTTTTGATCTATTTTAGCATCAAAATTTTTAATTTTTTCAAAATTATACTTAAAGTTTACTTTTTGTTTCATTTTAGTATACATTCAAAATTTAACATTAAGTTTAAAAAAATTGATAGTTTAGGTATTAAACACGTTAAGCTTTTAGCAGTTGGATATTAAAATGAAATAAAAACTAAAAGTTAGATATGATTTTGAAAAGAAAAAAAAAAGTATAGATACTAAAACGGATCAAAACTTATAATTTAAATACTAAACACAATATTTACCCTAATATTTGTACAGGTTTTATAGTTGGAAGTGAATTGTTTAAAATATTATTTCAATAATATTTTTAAAATTTTATAATATTAATTTTGAAAAATCGTGAAAAAAAAGAAATTTTCGTTCATATGAATAATTTACTTTTGTTAAGTTTGAATATTTTATCCAATTTGGAATTTTATGCGCTTAAAGTTTGAGAGTTGAAAAAAAAAAGTATAAAATCCAAATTTAAATGAAAGTATGGAATCTATTTTATTTTATTCTATGTTAATTGAAAATATGAAACGTTATACGAATATATTTGTTGTTACACAAATTTCTTTTGTAATCAACTAATTATCTCTATAAATAAATACTAGAAATCAAGTTGTTTTTATAATTTTTTATAATTTCATAATTATAGTTAGATAAATATCAAAACAAATAATTATAATTAAATACTAATGAAACTGCTAAACTGAGCAATGTTTCAAATTTCAACCAAAGTCTTCACTGCAATTGTTGGATTCATCAAATACCAATGACACTGCAAACAAATAGAACACAAACCTCCAACGATCATAGTAAAAATAGCTGTTACATATGACATCCAAAAGTTTTACCCTTAACCATCACATGGCAAATTGCTCCCAGAAACATAATTAACCTACGGCTAGTGGAAATTGTAGATATGGAGAGGCCCCGGACTGAAATTCTAGATCGATCGAGAAATTCACGGATGGAACGTTGATCGAAACAACGAAAAACGGGGATAGGAGCATACTCTCTACCAACCATATATCAAGAAACGGTATTTCTAAGTTCATGAATCCTTGGCTGTGGAAGAAGTAGAAGTTTGACGGATCCGTCGTTGATGGACATCCCAATTATACACACGAGCGATAGTTACCTGCATAAAGGTAATATGCAGTCGATAACCAAAAGCCAACACACGCCGAGCAGGCATTAGAACGCCTGAAGACATCATTAGGAACATAATATTATATAGAATTACCATACTACCTGAGTTATGGTCACTTGATCCCTCAAGAACTGCAAATCAGCTATAAGAACTTCCAAACTTGCTTTGGCGTTTTCCAAATTCTTTTTCAGTAGCGACGTGGCCTGCACATGCAAAAGTTATAGATCACTTAGTTTTGTTTCTGTAAGCACACAAACAGTAAGCAACCGGTTGCAGCTATCGCACCTCTTCACATGAATATTCCAACATGACATTAGCTCCTAGCCATAAACAAACTGAATCGTTATCCTCAATGCGAGCCTGAGAAAATATGCCTTCAGAGACTTCAAAATCAGCAATGAGAGCCTATATGCCAAAAGAAACATTATACATCGTTAGCATATATGCAACACGTCAGATAAAGAAATCTAAATCTATTTTCAGGCTTGTTAGAGCAACAAGCATGTAACTGTAAGATTTGAGCACTTCACACCTAATCGAGCAGAAAACGAATGTTTTATACAACTCAATCCCCAATTTCAAGCAATACAGGCCCCCATATGTAGCAGATCCCAAGTTAAACTGGTTTAGTCACACGAGATATTCATGTTATATGGATGCCAGAATCTCAGAGAGAGAGAGAGAGAGAGAGAGAGAATAGTCAAGCATGTGGACTATAAAGAAAATTAATTAAGTTTCATCATGTTACAGTGATTCATAATAACTCAAGTTCCAAAAAGAAATGAAGAATAATTATCTTCTTTAAACAGAAAAACAACATTATAAAAGTTAAGATATCAGAAAAACACAAACCTCACCAGTACCCTTCTTAGCTTGTAAAGTGGCAACCACGTCCAAGCATTTCTCGATATCAGGAATTTTTGCCTGGTGACCACAATATAAAACACATTAGTCAAAAGCCTTGTGACATGTCAGCAACTTTGAGCATATATATATATATATATATATATATATATATTAAGCATGAATGAGAATGTCTAGTCTGGTTGAATCTTTGGGAGGGAATGCACATAGATTAACCCAACATAAATTTTGATGTAACTAAACAGCATTGTAGCATAACATGGTACACATAGAAGCTTAATCACATTCAGTATCTAAGACGGCAAGAAAGTTGCACTTTAAGCCTATATTCCTCGGACTCTTATGACACTAATGTCTGCCACATGGATAGGGGATAGGTCATAGGACCTCCAAGGATCCACCAAATACATGGAAAACCTTTGAAAATTCTAGCCATACCCATGTCAAATACATACTCTATCCTATACTTAGACCCAAGTTTGAGTAAGAGAGCTTTTAGAAGCAAAGCCTATACAGAATACATAAATTAGTAGGCAGATTCTACACGTTAACATGCCAAGTACTTTCAAATAATATTGTGCTTTTATGAAACACCATCCGAAAGACAATTGTATCCACACAAGGGTGAAATTTGATTTCTTCTCTCTTGGTACGAACTAATGAGCATTTTCCCAATCAAATTCACAACACTTTGCCATGGACCAGCATTGATGGAATTTACAGACGAAAACCATTTTGTTGTAATAACCACAACCTTAAGGAATAAAGATCAGTTTATAATCAAATTAACTAAATATTTGATTTGTTATAACTTAAAACATAAAATTGTCCTCCTTTTCATATAACACATAAACACAAATATGAACTATAAAAAATACAAGGAAACACTCTAGTTGCAAACATCACATTTGTCCAAACAATGAGCACAGCCAAATGCGTAGAAATTGAAATGGAAAGCACATTTTTCTTGTATGTATAAAATAAATGCAGCATATGAAAATAGTCAATAATACAATAAGAAAAGATCCCAATACAATACCTGAAGATCTCGTTGCTGAGCAAGAAGCTTCATCTCGACCAACTTATACTGCTGAAGCCTGCCAAATTCAATAAGTTTCAACCAAATAAGCTTTAAAACCCTTCAATCCCAAGTAAATTTGAAAACCAAACAGAACCCAAACTTTCAAAACTTTTAATTAAATTAGATTTCAACATAAAAACATAGCCTACAAAATGCACTTTAGTAAAATTGAGAATTAAAGAAGGGACCTTTCTTGGAGAAAGGCGAGGGCAGAGTTAACATCGAGGCCATTTTGAGAGAGATAAATCTCGACATCTTCTACGAACTGAGCTCCGGGTATTCCTCTCCTCTCCGTCGTCGTTTTGGGTGATGCCGTTGAAGACGAAGATGCAGCCGCCGCCATGTTTTGAATGTTTTTCTTTCTCGATTGAGAGAGTGAAAATCAGAGGAAGAAAAAATACGCCGCCGATCCGTACGGTGTGAGCTTCGAAGAAGCTGTAGTGTTTGTCTCTGTCTGAGTGATGCGAGTGACTGAGCCGAGGGAGCGGAGCTTGGAGTTCGAAGGCGGAGGACCATATAAAAGGTCAGTGAGATCGTGAGGGGACACTGAGATGAGGAGATGCCGCGCCGACGACGTCGTTTAGAAGGCAAAAATGATCCACGAGTGCACCAGAAGATGGGCTCCAGTGTGGGGCCCAGGTTTATGTATTGGTTTTCCTTGTTTATTTTCAGCTCATTTGTTGATATCAAGTGGAACTCAGGAAACAACTAGAACCTAAGCCCTATTATAATTTCTTTTAACCCATTTGATAATATTGTACCCAAATAAATTGGGTTTTTTTCCAGTTTTTCAAATATATATTTTTAAAAAATAATCATATTGTATTTTAAAATATTCTCAATTTACAGTAATGTTTATTCATCAATATAATAATTATATTTTTCATATAAAACTATTGACAAACTTTAAAGTTTATAGGACAGCGAGGTCCCTTCCTTATCAATTGATGTTAAAGGAAGATTAAGGCCCCAAAACATTGTTTGTAAAGTTGTTTTTATCAATTCGATGAGAGTATAAGATAATATATTTTCGAAAGATTTTAAATTATTTAATAATAAATACTCATACTCTCCAACAAACGTAATACTTGAAATATTAATAATAAAAAATTAGCTGATCCTTTTTTCTCATATGTAATGGCTAAGGGGGAGGTATGATAGTAGACTGCCCCCAACGCCAGGTTGAGAGCAACTTCCGTGGAGACCTCCGAATTATGAAATACCCATCGTAGGACTCGATCCCACGACCACAAAATTAATAACCTTGTGCTCTACCAACTGAACTCGACGAACATTTTTAAATATTAATAAGATATCAATAATCTTTTAATCATTAAATTTAGTCGGTTCATACTTGTTTTAAAGTTTAAGTCTTGGTTTGACGGTGATTACGATGTTAACCAACTTTGCTCGCCACGTGCTTAGTGATAGAGGCGGTCCAATTAATCCGGCCCCTGCCCCATTCTTTTTTATTTTTAAAAGTTCTTAAGCTATGTCGGATTAAGATATGAATCAGTATTCAAAAAGTAAATAAATAATAAAGAGGTTCTGTATTTTTACAATGGATCTAAATAAAAACAATAAAACTTATTTTACCATTAAATAATAATTTAAACTAAGGCGGGATAGTGAAAATATCCTAAATTCAATTAATTATTATCAAATTCTAATTTAAGATCAGAAGAAATAACAATAAATTTCTTAACGAATTAGGTTATTTTTCTTTCTACGGCCGATACATAAGCTAAAATTTTCTAGTCACATACTATTTAGATATATTTTATAGTTAACATTGAAAATAAATTATATTAATCGTTACATAATTATGTGAGTAAAATCAAAATGATCTAAAGTTTGCGTACTTAGAAACATAATTTTGATTAATCAAGGTTATTATTAATGATGTTAGCAGGTAATTGCAGTAGTTGGAGCACTAGTTTTTCAAATCTTTTACTGGTATTTCTTAAAACTACTACTCAGGGTTGTAAACGAACACGATCGAAGTATGTTTATGTTCGTTTAAGTTTAACCGAACAAATGAAAGAACACGAACATAAATGAACAAAAAATTTATTGTTCGTGTTCGTTCATTAAGGAATGTAGCTTGTTATTGTTCGTTCATGTTCCTTTACAAGCCTATTAATAGTAGATGATATGAAGTAGTTGGGATCTTCTCCACTTATAAAGCAATTTCGTTATCGTTTTAAAAAATATTCAAAATTTAGCTCGAACAATTCAAATAGATCGATCGGATCCATTGAACAAGCATACTAAAAAACAAATGAGTTATCGTATGTCCCCAAACTATGGCCCTCATTTCAAATTAGTCTTTAAACTTTTAAACATTTTGATTTCATCCCAAAACTATGACTTTCATTCTAAATCAGTCCTTAAACTTTTGAACATTCTAATTTCATACCAAACTATGAATATCATTCTAAATTAATCCCTAAACTTTTGCATATCCAATTTTATCCCCAAATTCATCCAAATATGTAATCCATTTCAAACATAGTTTAAGCTACATTTTTTTTTCTTTCAAAAATATAATAATATAACTTGGTCTAACAATTATATTAACAAGGAATGCGATTAGCGTACACATGTAATTTAGGATTAAATTGAAATGTTCAAAAAGTTTAGAGACCAATGTAGAATGGATATCATAGTTTGGGGATGAAAAAGAAATGTTAAAAGTTTGAGGACTGGTCTACAATGATAGTCGTAGTTTAGGGATGAAATTGGAATGTTTAAAAGTTTAGTGATTAATTTAAAATGAAGGCCATATATTAGGGACATATGATGAAATTAACCCAAAACAAATTTGTTGTATCATTTATTTTTGTCTCCATTTCGGCATTGTTTTCTGCCTAATGGGCTAGTTGTTGCTATTATAAGCTCACAAACCATTAGTTTAAAACACGTTACTTAACCAAAATCAATGCACATTATAAACCACAAAAAGAATAATTTGTTGTAAAAACACCCTCGAAGATAGATATTGTTTCTTCGTCCACCCCCAACAATTTTTTACCTTTAAAAAAAGGGGCGAAAACACCAGAAAAATCTCAAGAAACGTATGTTGAAAAGTCTAATGCAATATTCATTCCACAAGGCATCCAAAAACATGTCTCCCATGAATATTGCATTTGCTTCTGTATTGGCTATTGCATTCTGTTTCCCATGTTCCGTGGACGGCAAGAAACCGGATGTGTTCAAACTCGACGCGCCTTTCTTGACGAAGAAGCTTGCCGCGAATTTGACCATCACGGTCGATGCCGAAGGCGGTGGAGATTACAAAACGGTTCAAGAGGCCGTTAACGCCGTCCCGAACGGGAATAGTAAATGGGTTATCATCCATGTTAAGAAAGGAGTTTATAGGTAATCCATTCCCAATAGCATTGTACCACCGTTACATGATGGATTACTATGAAATGCTTTTGATATTGCAGAGAAAAGGTTCACGTGCCGAAAGAGAAACGTTATATCTTCATGAGAGGCAATGGAAAGGGAAAGACCGGCATCATTTGGTCCCAGAGCTCCGTCGACAACAAGGAATCCGCCACGTTCTCCGTCGAAGCGAAAAACTTCATCGCATTCGGTATTAGCTTCAAGGTAACAGATTAACAGCCTCTTTTTTTGTATATTTGTTTGATGTTCATCATCAACAAGCTTCAATTTTGGGTCTTCGATGGCAGAATGAAGCACCGACTGGCGTTGCTTATACATCCCAGAACCAGTCAGTGGCGGCATTTGTGGGAGCAGACATGGTTGCATTTTACCACTGCGCATTCTTTAGCACCCACAACACTTTGTTCGATTACAAAGGAAGACATTACTACGATAGCTGCTACATACAAGGCTCCATCGACTTCATTTTCGGCCGAGGAAGAACAATGTTTCACGTAAGTTTGAATCAAATTTCTGGGTGTTTAAACACAAAACAGCTCTGGGTTTCGCCTGTTTTAATGGATCGAAGCACCTGCAGAACTGTGAGATCTTTGTGTTACAAGACAAGAGGATCGCGATCCACGGATCCATCACAGCACAAAACAGGGCAAACCATGAAGAGAACAGCGGCTTCGTCTTCCTCAAGGGCAAGGTTTATGGCATCGGTTATGTTTACCTGGGAAGGGCTAAAGGGAAATACTCGACCGTCGTTTTCGCTCACATGTATTTGTCCAAGACCATCGTCCCCGAGGGCTGGACCGATTGGAGCTACCACGATGGCCCCGAGTAAGCGAATTTCCGCCATTTCTGTTCTGAATCAAAGCTTTTGTTTTTCTGGTTTATCTGATGTGATCCTCTTGCGTTGCAGTGATTTGTTCCATGCCGAGTATAAGAACCATGGGCCTGGAGCTGATATGTCGAATAGAGCTCACTGGGTAAAAAAATTGACCGACGAGGAAGCTAAGTATTGGACTACCATTGATTTTATTAAAGGCACTTATTGGCTACCTGCATGGCTTGATTGAATGATTCTCGATGATGGGAAATTAAGGAATTATGTATTGAGAAATTTGTTTTATATTGTATATCTTATTAAGTTATAATTAAAGAAATGTACTATGATTGATATGGGATTTAATAAAATTATATATATTTTTGGTTTTAATTTATTGATATCTTACCAATATAATGAACAAAAATTTAGAATATTAGTAAAATTAATGTGATTTCATTAAATTTACGTGATCTAATTAAGTTAAAATTATTAATAATTAACCATATCACTTAATCTATTAATCTATAAGTAGTTATTATAGATTCTAATCTGACACAAACATTAACAACTATTATAAGATCTATTGACTAGGGTGTGCAAATCCGGGTACCCGATTTCCGGGTACCCGGAACTTCCAGGTCGACGATTTTTCGGCCCGTGTCCCGACCCGGATGTTACGGGTATCCGGTAATCGGGTACCCGGATTTTGTGGGTACCCGGTAATCGGATACCCGATACCCGGTTTTTAATTTTTTATTTTCAAATTATTAATTTTAAAAAATATATACACAAATTTAAATGTTCGAAACTTCGACTTATATACTCTAATATCCGAATATAAAATTTAAAAGTTCGAAATACAAAATATAATAATCATAATATAAATAATTCATTATATTTTATATAATTATATATATATATAAAAAAAACTAACCGGGTACTCGGAAAAACTAGATTTTGTGACCCGGGTCCGACCCGGGAAATGTCGGGCCGGGTACACGACCCGCCGGGTAATTTTTTTAGAGAATTATCCGATTTTTTTAGATCCGGGTCGACGGGTCGACGGGTCGGGTCAACTGGATCGGATAATTTTACACACCCCTACTATTGACCATGAACAAAAGAAAGGATGAGACTTTCTTACCCTCATCTATCTATTTTCTACCTCTTTATAGAAATAAAATATTTTAATATCTACTAATGACCGATTAAATATGCATGTATTCTTTGTTTTTCATCTATTTTATATCACATCTTTATTTTTTTATTTTTTTTTATTTTTAGTAATTTTGTCTTCATGACACGATTTTCTTTGCTTTTATGTCACGATTTCTCTTACCTTTTGGTATGTTTTTTTTATCTTCTATATCTTTCGTTTGGTATTTCTTTTTTATTTACTTTTTAAGGGTTGGATTTGACATCGACTCAACTGATCAATATGTCACTTATTTATTATCCTGTCGATCTGCCCTATTTTGGACCCTTGGATGAATTTGGATATACGATTTATGTTTGGAAATAGATTTCTCAAGACACTCAACTTTGATTCGCGATTGTTTGTGGTCTTTTAGTTGATTGATCCCCTATTGTGATTCGTTTACTGATGCAATTAGATTTATTAGCATCTTTATCTTGTTTTCGAGTTTTTTGGATTATTTTTTACTTTTCCCTTTCATGTATATAAAAGTTAGGAGGATTATTCATGTAATTTACTCTATTAAATACATTGAGCCGGAAAGTAGGGAACTTGAAAGTCGGGTGGATCAACAAGTTAGGGTTTTAGTTTTGTTATTCTTCTAGCTGGTTTCCCTTACCATAAGTCACCAAAGCAAAAGAGCAAGCAGATGGAAGCCGGAGATGGAGGCGTTGACTCCAAGGATTTGCAACAGCAAAGCAAAGCCTTCGATAAACTCACCGACCGTGTCGAAGACCGCCAGCTCGATTCTTCTCGTGCCCAATCGGTACGCTTAATAATATAAAATCACATTCTCTTTTTGTATAATTTTAATTCAATCTTTTTGCTCATGGGTCTGGTTTTGATTTGTTAGGCCATGGCATCGATTGCAGCTTCTGCTGAAGCTGAAAAAAACGCTATGAGATTGAGGTTTGAGCTATTTTCCTTCTACAAATTTCATTTCTGTAGTTTTCTGGTAAGAAAACAATCGGAGTTTTTAATCGAACCGCGGCTTGAATATTTGAATATTTATATAGAATTTTAGTCCGATTAGGTGGTTTTTGTTGAATTTTGAGATTTTGTCGGGGCAGAGAAGAGGATTGCTTTGTTTGAAAAAAAAAATGTTCTGTTTGGATTGGATTGGACTCTATTGAATTTTACTTTGCTGTTTGTTCTGTCATTAACAAATTAGGAAGATTGCTCCTTTATCTGGCTCGTATTCGGATACGGGTACGGTTTATAATAAATCTATAACCTTTCCAAGGACCGTCTGACATATTTGTGCTGGATACATACTTGTAGATACGAACCCTAGTATGAATAACATAGATCGGAAGCTGATGAGCTTGATATCCAGGAATTTTAATCACTGTCTATGGGTAGTCACATTTGATTTCAGTTTGCAATATAAGCTTCCTTTCACCGTTGTTATAATCCTTCTATTCTTCCTCAGCCGCTTTATTGAAGGAGCCCCTAAATCCCATTGCTGTATCATAATTTGTTTGCCTTTCCAAACGAAAGATTCGATGTTTTAGTTTTTTCAGTTCCGGAATTCTCGAGTCTCAGCTGCTCAGTAATAACTCAACTTGGTTATGCTAAAACAAAAGTGTGGCATGAACTTCTTTGTCATTACATATCCTCGAGTACTTGACAGTTTTCTTTCCCCTTTTTTTGAATTTCTGCTAAATGCTCGTCTAAAGCAAACATTACATTTTTGTTCCGTACAGAGAGAAAGAATTAGCTGCTGTTAAGATTAATGCAGCTGAAGTGGACATCATTGCTAACGAATTAGAGGTTGGATATATATTGTTCTTTCCATGTATGTAATATGCCAAAGATTCTAATACGCTTTTTTTTCTATTGGAAATAAAAAGTTGGACAAAAAGGTTGCCGAGAGAACACTCCGTGAGCATAAAGGTGATGCCGTTGCTGCCATTCGATCCTTGCTTCACTAGACGGAGCTGGCGGCATAGATTGTTATTTCTCGAGGTCCCCCCCCCCCCCAAAACAGAAAATAATGTGTAAGACGTAGTTCTTCAAAATCTAAACATAAATAGCTACATTGCAGTGGTTATCACTGTAATCTAGTCAGAATCATTTTAACCTGGTTTTAAACGTAATGGCTTTTATGCTTATTGGTTTCCCATTCTATACAAAATGCTTTACTTTTATGTTAATCGTTCCAGCATGTATGTTTTATCTTCCAGATTTTCTTTCATTCCGAGCTTTTACGAGTCGAATTTTAATAATTTTACCATCACGGGTGTGCCATTTGCGCCATTACTCGCAGTCTTAATCATCCAACATTAGGATTTAGGTTTAATGGATAACACTTTTTAACAGATTTTGGTAAGCTACGCATTTATTATTTAAACTATCAGTTTTAATCAATTTTAGTATCAAATTTTTCAATTTTTTTCAAAACCATGCTTAATGTAGTTTTTGTTTAACTTTAGTATCATACCATTAAAAGCTTCACGCGTTTAGTACTTAAACTATTAATTTTAGTCTGTTTTAGTTCCTATTTTTTTTCCAGAACTTAATGTTAAATTTTGAACGAGATATTAAAATGAAACAAAAACTTAACTTTAGGTATAATATTGAGAAAAAAATCATTCTTAAATTTTAGTTTGTTTTAGTACTTAAACTATCAATTTTAGTATGTTTTAATACCTAAATTTTCATATTCTTTCAAAATTTAATGTTAACTTTTGAACATTATACTAAAATAAAACAAAAACTTAACTTTATGTATGATTTTGAGAGAAAAAAATATGAAAATTTAGGCATTGAACGGACCAAAAGTAATAGTTTAAGTATTAAATGTATAATCTATCCTATTTTTTTTAGCTTTTGGGTAAATTCGCCTCATACTTAGCTCATTCTTTTCCGGTAAAATACATCAATTATTAATAAAATTACAAATAGATAATTCAATTAATCAATTATTATAAATAATCGCTTGGTTGAATATCTATAATAAGTGTTCTGCAGCAGGCCGCCATTGAAACGAAGCTTATGTCGGTTGGTTGATTGGGCTTTGCATTGTTTTAGAAAGGGAGATGTTCATGAAAGCATTGACCCTTGTCTTAAGGGAAAAGTTTAGCCATGGTGACTGGAGAAATTTGTTGAGACAACTCAAAAGTGTACGTTGGAGGAAAATTTAGACATACAGCAATTATCGCCATTGATGAGTAGACTGCTAGCTTTGTTCTTCTTGCGGATAATCAATCCAACACTTCATTGATATCCGACACTCATATTGTACGCATTTATGCATATGGATATGATGATAACCTTCCGAAAATTCGGGGAAAAAATACAGAAAAAATGAACAAAACGACGTCGGACATATAGCATATCGTACACCATTTCAAAATCAGAGTAACATAACACTAGAGAACTGAGATGAGCAGCAAAGGAATCTTTTTACCATAAGAAAAGATTCAACAGGCTAAAGTGGAAAGTTTAACCCTACCAGAGTGAACTTCAAAGCTCACATGATATAACCATGAGCTTCAGCAAGTGGAAATTTCAGTAGATAAGATCATAACTAGAGCTCAATACGTATGTAGAAATGGAAACTAAGATGAAATTGTGAGGGAGAACGATAGATTTTGAGATCTTTTATAAGGTCAGTTTGAGCAACGAGTGTCACTAAGACTCCTCAAACAACATTAACACAAAAGTCTTGGTAAAAATAGTTTTTCAAAAGAAGATCACATCAAGCAGCTCTGATCATCAACTTATGAGACCACCTACACCTCAACCTCAATCTCTCCACCGATGTCCACAGTTCGGATTACAGCAGACAAAAAACAGTGTCATACCTTCCTCCCCTCTAGCAGTTGCCTGAAAAAAGGGTTGCATTAGAAGAAACATTACCACTACTCATCATGCATAGAAAAAAATTGTTTCCCCCCAAAAAACATATACATTCTAGATAAGCCCCGAACAAAACATCTATGTTTCCCAGGGTGGGGTGTGAGGGAGTTTGTTTCATATACGGGTAAACTCAATTTTTTTCTGCATTTTCCCCCATGTATTTGGATGCATATATCACCGTCCACATATTCGAATGTCTTACTGACAGATGCTTTAGGGAAACGAAGAAGAGTTTACACAACATATATCCTCATTATATATGAATCACCCTTGATGCTACATGGAGGAAAACAAAGACAAAAAGAAGACCATAGAAGAAGAAGGGAAAATACATATCTCCTACCGAGTATTAATTGTAGAGAACACCCACATTTTTTACATTTTCGATAACCAAAAACTACAATAGCGTTCTACGCTAAAGTTGAAAAATCTTAAAAGCAGATGCAACAATATAAGAAATCCGATATAATGCACACAAAACCTCAAGTTTAATGCTCTATTAAACTTTTCAGTCAATTTTTTCCTTCAATTTTCTAAAACACAAAGAATCCTTAAGAAATGAATCACATTTTCTCCTTACAACAAGGATTTTTCCGGTAACCATTGTATCCATAAACAAAAACTTAAGTACGTAGGAAGTTCACCTGGAAGAACACAGCCTCTCCGTGTTTACAATTGGCGCAAATAACGGCTTTAGTCCGGGGAAGAGTTGGATCAGCAGCCACATCCTGCAATACTTGAGTGCGTTCACCTGCAGAGTGATGCACTTCATTTCTATACACACAGTTGTTTTCAGCCACCTCCTACATAAACAACAACGATAATCCCAATTTAAAGCGTTTAACTTCTGGTATTGAGTCAACAATTCACAAAAACAAAAGAAACACATCTTCTAAATTGGAAAAATTTAGAGAGAAACGGTAAAAAGGATGGAATGGGTTAGGAATTAATGTGGGTTTAACACGGAATCAAAAAGTAAATTAAAAATAAATTATACCCTAAATGAAAAGGGGGAAAACAAAGACACCCTACTCTTAATTCTAATTCTTCATCCCGCATTCAATCCAGAAAAAAAAAGAATTTTCATCCTGCAAAAATAAATAAATAAGTAAAAAGAACCTGGTGATCGCAGTTGCGGCAAGCGTAGAGGAGAATCTTCTGGTCCCTGTCTTCCTTCGGGTAGAGGATATTGTTACTTTATCAACCAAACAAAAGAAAAACCCAAAATTTAGGCGCAGGAAAGAAAATCGAAGGGATGAAAAAGGTCAATGAGTGAAAAGAAAAGAGAAAAATAACTATAGGGATGAAAAAATTCAAGACAGAAATGAATGCATGAAGATTAAAGGGCTGTGAGAGCTGACCATTCGCGGCAAAACTTCATAGTACTCATCTTTTCCGATTAATATTTGTTTTTCCGGGAGATTTAGAAAAGGCGGAGAGCGCTTGGGTTCTTTTAGTAGCGGGATCTTTTGAGTGTTGCAAGCCTCCGGTGGGGAAATTCAGGAGGTATTCGAGCGTCGTTGGCTTTCATTCTTTCGCTTTTAGGGTAGGGTAATTAACGTGTTAAGTATCTAAATTATCAATTTTAATATTTAAATTTTTAATTTTTAAGAATTATGTCTAATGTTTAGTTTTTATTTTATTTTATTTTAATAAAATATCGTTACTAATTTAATTCATTTAGTACTTAAATTATTATCTGTGATCAATTTTTGTTCCTAATTTTTTATTTTTTTTAAAATTTAACGTTAAATTTTAAACGGATATTAAAATTTTTAACGACAGATATTGAAATAAAATAAAAATTAAACTTTAAGTATGATTTTGAATAAAAATTAAAAATTTAAATATTAAAATAGATTAAAACTGATGATTTAGATAATAAATATGTAATTTACCCTTCATTTTAATATATACGGGGAAGAAGCTATCTTTGCAATTTAATTATAGGATAAACTACAATGATAGTCTCTAAATGTTTAAAGAATTTGTGTTTTGGTTATTGAGCTTTGAAAAATTATGTTATAATTATTAAATCATTAATTCGCTTTCATTGTTTTCTTTATCGTCAACTGTTAACAAGTATCGACATGTACAAATGATAATTTGACCAGAATTTGATGTGTTTTAATTTAACTTGATGTGTTTTAATTTAACTTGATTTGATATGATCGATTTGTAAAATCGAGTTTGGTTCGAGTTAAGTCAAGTTTTATAAATGACGAGGTCAAATCAAATTCAGCGTGAAAAATCTTCGGATGAATGTTTTCTTGACGTGCTTTAACATTCCTTACGAGAATGGAACTAGAAAGATGTCCAAGTAGATTGAAATTAAAACAACAAAAATTGGTTGAAGTTATGTGACTTTTGCTGGCATTGAAGAAAGTGTTCTCTTCAAAAGATAATTTCAAGAAAATCAATGAAGATATTCAACTGATCTGCTCTACACAGAGAATTGTAGCTGTGAAATATTCTGACTATGTGAAGCTTCGGTTCTAGCTTTCTAACGTTAAGGAGTGCGCATGGGAGCATATTGGTATTCCAGGTACTGACCTCTCTTAAGTCTCCACTTATGATCAGCAGATGTTAGGATATGTACTTTTGTTTTACATTTTAAGATTGAAACTTCCGTTCAAGTTCTCTCTTGGGTTTGAGTTTAACGGGAAACACTTAGGTCAATTGTAGCCGGCATTATTAATTTGATTTGATTTGGCATTAATGTTATGGGAGATAATATATTCTTCTTTAGTTAGATATATGGCCGCTAGATTCCATTAAAGCCGAAAAGCAAAGGCCACAAGAGCATATTCTCCTAGTCCAGTGCATACACCACATGGCCACAACACAAATTTAAAGGCCACAATAGTATTATATTCTCATAGTCCAATGCACTGCACATGGCCACAAATAATTGCAGGCAGACGCAACAAATCGGAATTTTCAATGACTTGGGCTAATTACCTCATTGACTCTGAATTAACAGACGCCTAAAATATATTGTTCTACTTTCACCACTACCACAGAGTCCATCTCCTCTTCTTCACTTTTTCTTGTTCATTGTTTCTCTCTTCAGCTTCTTTCTTCAAATCCTACCATGGTTTTTATTGGAGAGGCTGCTCTTTCTAAGCAAGTGTACAAGCAGCTCAAGGAGTGGAAACCCATATTGCCCGATATCAAAGCTGTGTTGAACCATGCAGAGGAGAAGCAGATCAAGGACGAGGGTGTGAAGAGTTGGTTGGAAGATCTCCAAGACTTGGCTTATGATGCGGATGACATCTTGGACGAGTTTGCTTATGAACAGTTACGTCTCAAGCTCCACAAAACTCAGGCTCAGGCCACCACTAGTAAGGTACGGAAACTCCTTCCTACCTGTTCTACCGGTACTGATTTCACTCCATCGTCATTTCTATTTAAAAATGCCATGATTCCCAAGATGAAAGAGATCACCACTAGACTCAACAGTCTGGCTACACGAAGAAGTAGTTTGGGGTTGAGTGAGATCTTGCCTCAAGCTGCAAGCTCCGATCGAAAGAAACCGGCCAGGCTTCAACCTACTTCCCTGGTGGTGGTGGATGGAGCTGTGGAGTGTGTCGGCAAAGACAACGAGAAGCAAGAAATGCTAGATTTGCTCAAAACTAATAGCTCCAATGGAGTTTCAGTCCTTTCCATTGTTTGTATGGGAGGGATGGGGAAAACAACTCTTGCTCAGCTTGTCTACAATGATGCCAGAACTGCGGACTCTTTTGATCACAAGGCATGGGTATGTGTTTCCGATGACTTTGATGCTGCCAAAATAACCAAGACTATTTTAAGATCGATCGATCCTTCTCACCTGATGAGAATGACTTGAATTTACTTCAAGTCAAGTTGAAGGAGAAGTTATCTGGAAAAAACTTATTGTTTTAGATAACCTTTGGAATGAGAGTTATGATGATTGGACCATCTTACGGTCTCCCTTTGGAGCAATGACCAAGATTATCGTAACTACTCGCCTTCAAAATGTTTCAGTTAATGTGGATCCGATTAAAGCTTTTCACTTGGATAAACTATCACAGGAAGACTGTTTGTCCATATTCTGCCAGCATGCATTAAGAGAGATAAATTTCGATGAACATCTCCAATTTAAACAAGTTGGAGAGAACATAGTGAGAAGGTGTAATGGCTGACCTTTAGCAGCAACAGCCAAGGGAAGCTTCTTACGTACAACCAAGAATCTTGATGAATGGGAAAGAACATATGAGAGCGAGATATGGGACTTATCAGAAGATAAATGTGGCATAATTCCTGCACTGCGATTAAGTTACCATCACCTTCCTTCTCACTTGAAACGCTGCTTTGCATACTGCTCCATATTTCCAAAAGATTACGAATTCGAAGAAGAGGAGATAATCTTGTTACGGAGTGCAGAAGGGTTCTTGCAACATAAAGCTAAACATCACATTAAAGATCTTGGAAACCGTTATTTTCAAGATCTAGTCTCAAGGTCATTTTTTCAGATATCTAATAAAGATGAATCACGGTACTTAATGCACGATCTTATCAATGATTTGGCTAAGTTAGTTGCAGGAGATGTATTTTGCAGACTGGAGGACAATAAGCAACAGATGGTTTCACATCGTTCTCGTCATTCTTCTAATATTGTCAGTCAGTATGACACGGTGAAGAAGTTTGAAGCATTTGATCAAGTAAATTCTTTGCGTACTTTTCTACCGTTAAAGCAAGTTCGTTGGTGGTGTTTTGATTATTTGACTAATGTTGTCTTGGTTGAATTATTGCCGAGACTTCGCTTCTTAAGGGTGCTTTCTTTGTGCAGATATGAAATTGCTGAGTTGCCTGAAAATTTCGAAAATTTAAAGCATCTACGCTTCTTGATTCTTTCCTGTACTCAAATCAAATGTTTACCTGATTCTTTATGTACTCTTTATCATTTGGAAACTTTATTATTAAAAAAATGTTCCAGGCTTCAAAAATTACCCTCGAATATGGAAAATCTTGTTAACTTGCATATTAGAGGTGTGGACTCAATAGAAAGATGCCTTTAGGAATTGGTTAGATTAATCTAACCAATCTTCAAAGATTATATAGTTTTATTATAGGCGAAGGTGATGGACATCGCATTGGAGAATTGAAGAATTTGTCGAATCTCAGAGGTGACTTTTGTCTTTCTGGGTTAGAAAATGTTAATGATCAAGAAGCAAGGGAAGCAAGGTTGAATGAGAAATCAGGGATCATGCATTGCAATGGAGTGAAGACTTTAAGAAGCCTACTAGGAAGAATGAAGTTGAAGAACGAGTGTTAGACTCTCTTCATCCTCCGAAAAAGCTCGAGCAACTCGTCATTGAGAATTTCGGTGGTGCAAAATTCCCCACTTGGATAGCAGATTCTTCCTTCAAGTATTTGTTGTCTTTGAAGCTATTTGGCTGTAAAAACTGCAAATCACTACCACCGATTTGGAAGGTTGTCATCCTTAAAAGATCTTTCGATTGCTGGTGTGGATGAGGTGCACAAGATTGGTGTTGAGTTGTTTGGAGAAGATCAATCAATTGCATTTGCATCTTTAGAGACTTTGTCTTTTGAGAGTCTACCAAACTGGAAGGAGTGGGACGCTTGTGAAGGTGATGAGCAGGTTTCAAAGTTTCTCAGCCTTCGTGAGCTTTCGATCAGACAATGTCCTCAATTGTTGGGAAGGTTGCCAACCCGTCTTCAGTCCTTGCAGAAACTTGAAATCGAAGAGTGCAGGAGGTTAGTAGTTTCAATTTCAAGTTTTTCATCAATGCGTGAATTAAGCGTCAAAGGGTGTGAAGAATTGGTGGATGAATGCTCATCTGCGCCCATGGCAGAAGTTAGCTCTCTGCAAAGTGTGAATCTTTCAAGCATTTCAAAGTTTAGTATTGCAGACGCGAAGAGAATGTTGAGGTTTGCAAACTCCAAATACTTAAGATCTAATGATTCCAATTTGCTACCAAAAGTGGCGCATGCTTTCACATTCATTACAAGAATGATACTAGAAAGATGTCCAAGCTTGGTTTGTTTTACAGAGAGTAACTTCCCCACTGCTCTAAAAGAACTGATGATTTCGAGTTGTGATAATTTACAATATTTGTTTGATGAGAGTATGAGCAGTAACGTTTGCCTTCTTGAGCACTTATAAATTAGTAGGTGCCAGTCTCTAATATGGTTATCACAGGGGGTGATACATGCAATTGGCTTCAAACTCTACAAATTTGGGTGTGTCCAAAGCTGAGCAGCTTATTTCTCAACGCCAAGTTACCCGTAATGCTTAAAAATCTAGATATTTGGGAGTGTCTGGTGTTGGAATCCATAGCCCAAGACTTCCGTGAAACCATTGATCTCGAAATTATTAAAATTCGGGGTGCTCAAAATACTAAATCTTTACCAAGAGGATTAAACAATCTCAGCCATCTCCAAGAGATCACTTTATGGGGTTCAAATCTGATGGTTTGTGAGTTTCCCCTCACAAAGCTCAGGGTTTTCACAATCGGCAGTTGTAAAAATGTTGGAGCCCTTCCGAAGTGCATGAAG